CCGGACCCGGGCAGCACCTGCCGGACCCGGGCACCGCCTGCCGGACCCGGGCACCGCCTGCCGGACCCGGGCACCGCCTGCCAGACCTGTGAGGCGCAGCCAGGGCACTGCCTGCAGGACACGTTCCTTCCACAAAGAGCCAAAGAACATGGGCTTTGGGATGAACTGAACAAACATTAAGTCTAAGTTTTCTCTTCCCAAACTTCAAGGTATCAAACTGCCCAACTTTCAGGGCATCAAAGTATACAAAAAAACAAAAAACCCCACATAGCTCGAATATGTGAACATCTGGACCTGCCAAAAAGACCTGGCAGGCCTGTACAGCCCCAGGGCACTCCTGCCCTCGGAGGGCCTCACTGGGACCCGCCACATGGCCCCAGCCAGCTCGCCTGCTCAGAGGCCCCAAAGGAGAGGTGACCAGCAAACAGGGAAACCCCTGCGGGCGCAGTCGCTGGGCCCTGGCGGCCCTCAGTGCCCATCCCGTCCCTGCCCCTGCTCACTTCTGTGCCCAAACACCCCTCACCAAGCACTCCCACACCTCACCAGGCCATTTGGTTTGTATAATGTGCTGATTGCTGGGGGGGTAGGCTTCAGAATTCAGAGGGGCACCCGGGGGCGTGTGTAACTGAGAAACAGTGTAAGTGACCACTGCGATTGGTGGTGTGCGGAGCAAAAGCCAGGCCCAGCACTGAGAGCACCGCCCCAGTGACCGCAGTCTCGCTGCACCAGCCAGGGCCGTGGGGACAACTCGAGGACACTGCCTGACAGGACACTCAGCACATGTTCAGTGGATGACAGGGAGGGAGGAGGAGCGGGGCAGGGGAGGCTGATGTGACAGTCTCTGCCAGCGCCATTAAAATAATAGCAAATACACTTAAATACATACAAAGTTTATTAAAAATAGGCTGTGAATGGAATACAGTAGGAATGGAAGCTACAGCAGTTCCAATGTCTTCCACAGTAGTGCAGTTGTGGAAAGCTCTCCCGCACCCCTACACCTGGCCCCCTGCCAAGGGCGCACACACATCCCCGGAGTCCGGGTATTTACAGGTACTTCATGTACTGTGTGTCCTGGCTTTATATATTAACAGTAGCTCATCCGCAGCACTTAAGGTGTGGATTTCACCCCCGGACGCTGCCAGTGTTCAGATACCTGGGAGGAGCCCGCATCTTGGACCCGCGTGGAGCACGCGTGCGAATCCTTCACTAACGCACAGCCAACTTCACTCCGACTCAAAACGGGAATGGTGAGCACACTTCCAAATCAGAGCCCGATCGACATAAACTATTTATACACATTGTAAAGACATATCGTACACCCCTCACCAAAGTGACCTGC